GGGGGGGGGGGGGAATAATCTTCCTTAATGTCTATGTAAATCAAACATGTCCACTGTGTAAGATCTAAGCGCTCTGATCCGATATGTATTGCTAACGTGTTCAGAGCCCAGTTCCCGTGGATAATTTATAACAAACAGAAAAGGGGTGGGGGGGGGGGGGAATGACTGAATGGCAAGTAAAGGTTGATACACTTAGGAAATGGAACGCCTTGTGAGCTAGGAATAAGATACAATATTACTGAATGACAGAAATCACGATCTACAAATATAACAACCATTGCAGTGCAAGTGTAGTGTACGCTATTTCAACAGAATTAACAGATGACATACTTTCCTTAGTTGTTTTCCTGATTGCGATTACCTGTAAAGGTTGGAGTAAACTAACTTGACTCACCAAAATATTGATATATAGTATAAATAGTAACAGATTTCAATGTGTATTTTCTTTAAATGTGTATGTAAGAATCCTAGGCTAGAAGTGAAGCTCGAGCTGGAAACAGATTATTGTTGCTTGTTCCATATTCGGCATCTTCCGGTAAACTTAGGAAAAATAATATAATCAATTGTGATGCAGAGAAAAGATAACTATTTTGTACTTGTGACGTCCGATAGTGTACTTGTGACGTCCGATAGTGTACTTGTGACGTCCGATAGAGTACTTGTGATGTCCGATAGTGTACTTGTGAGTCTGATAGTGTGCTTGTGCCGTCTGATAGTGTACTTGTGGCGTCGGATAGTGTACTTGTGACGTCTGATAGTGTACTTGTGACGTCCGATAGTGTACTTGTGACGTCCGATAGTGTACTTGTGACGTCCGATAGTGTACTTGTGACGTCCGATAGCGTACTTGTGACGTCAGATAGCGTACTTGTGACGTTCGATAGCGTACTTGGGACGTCTGATAGCGTACTTGTGGCGTCAGATAGTGTACTTGTGAGTCCGATAGTGTACTTGTGACGTCCGATAGTGTACTTGTGACATCCGATAGTGTACTTGTGACGTCCGATAGTGTACTTGTGACGTCCGATTGCGTACTTGTGACGTCAGATAGCGTACTTGTGACGTCCGATGGCGTACTTGTGACGTCAGATAGCGTACTTGTGACGCCCGATAGTGTACTTGTGACGTCAGATAGTGTACTTGTGACGTCCGATAGTGTACTTGTGACGTCAGATAGCGTACTTGTGACGTTCGATGGCGTACTTGTGACGTCAGATAGTGTACTTGTGACGTCCGATAGTGTACATGTGACGTCCGATAGTGTACTTGTGACGTCCGATAGTGTACATGTGACGTCCGATAGTGTACTTGTGACGTCCGATAGCGTACTTGTGACGTCCGATAGCGTACTTGTGACGTCCGATAGTGTACTTGTGACGTCCGATTGCGTACTTGTGACGTCCGATAGCGTACTTGTGACGTCCGATATTGTACTTGTGACGTCCGATAGCGTACTTGTGACGTCCGACAGCGTACTTGTGACGTTCGATAGCTTACTTGTGACGTCCGATAGCGTACTTGTGACGTCCGATAGTGTACTTGTGACGTCAGATAGTGTACATGTGACGTCCAATAGCGTACTTGTGACGTCAGATAGCGTACTTGTGACGTTCGATGGAGTACTTGTGACGTCCGATAGTGTACATGTGACGTCCGATAGTGTACTTTTGACGTCCGATAGTGTACTTGTGTAGAGGAGTTTGTCTTCAGACGCCCCAAATTGAATCCTCCGCAGAGTCCCAAACGTTCTCGCTACTCAGCACTTAACTCCGCACCTGAGCACCTGGCGGGATACACGGCTAACAAACAAACAAAGTCCCTCTCTTACAATAAGGACCCCCCCCCCAAACCAAACTCTACACCGCCCCGTACTTTACAAGGAATTAGTTACCTGGTACACAGAGTACAACGTACCGCAGACGTAGTACAGATGTAATGAGGACGTAAGGGTGAACTAATCCAGCGTACATTCTAAGTTCAGAGTGAGTCTGTGGTCGTGCGGTTGGCTCGGTGATAGCTCCAACGTGTGGTCTACTCTGGTGACTGCCAGCAGCAATTCATGGCTGTCTCCTTGAGATAAAATAGCGATTGTTTATACAGAGGTTCTTAGCTTTTGAATTCGTTGGGGGGGGGGGGG